GTGTGTGTGTGTGTGTGTGTGTGTGTGTGTGTGTGTGTGTGTGTGTGTGTGCATGTGTGTTCGTGTTTGTGTGAGTATTTGTGTGTGTCTGTGTATCTCTGTGCGCGTGTGTGTGTTTGTGTGTGCATATGTGTGTGTATATCTGAGTGTGTGTATCTCTATCTCTCTCTCTCTCTCTCTCTTTCTCTCTCTCTCTCTCTCTCTCTCTCTCTCTGTCTCTCCCAACTCTTAGTCAAAGGAGTAGTACTCCATGTAATTATACTCACCCTACAATGCCATCCAATTTTCTGAGTATCACAAATGTTTCTATACAACTCCGTTTCTATAATTTAACCTATCTGAATAAAATATACATAAGGCACCAAAATTAAAAGCCGCATTTGCCAAGCAAAAGCAATCTTCCACACAATGAAACAGATACCAACAAACATCAAACTGTCACCGGAAACCAGAAAAAGAGTACTGAAAAGTTACATCGAGCCAATCCTGTCCAATTATACCAGTGCGAAGTGTAAAAATGAATGCTCTATGCAATACATCATGCATAATTAATTCGATTATTCCCTAGGATACGCCTAGATCTAACACTTTCACATGGAGTGTCTGGGGTTTCGTAGATATTTCGCAGCCTTACAATTATTACAGAGTTCTATCTGACATGTTTGGCGGTTTTGAGTTACTGAAACTAGGGAGTCAGAAACCAAAAGTTCCAACTGCTCTATCAAACCCGTAAGAGCATTCGGAGTCGTTTCAGTTTAGATATAATAATAATATACATGTACCAAAGAATTGCATTTGTAAAAGCTTAATCATCTTGTGAAATTCAAAATCATTTTTAACTTTGAATTTTTCACAAAACTAGACTAGATTTAGACGCTAACCAGATTGAACTGTGTAATTCTAGAGTAGTGGATTTTGCTATGACTTACTGTAAACACCCAAGCGATGCTGTCTTTCATCAATATACACCAACGCAGGGTATTATGTAGATTTAGAGATCTAATCTAGAATCTAGAGTCTAATCTAGATAGATCTAGAATAGATCTATCTATATGTAGGCATATACACCACGAGTGGTAAGAGTGAGTGTCTAATACACACAGTACACAACGCCCTAACTGTCCATCTTTGGGTCTGAACGGTGCTTTCATCTGACTGATTGCTACCTCTATTTCCATTCCCGATTCCCCATTTGATTTTCCGCCAGCGCCCCTCATAAAATGTTGCCAAGTGCCAAGCAATCACCATGCCAGCTGAGAGCTTGATTGAACACTTTTTTATTCTACACCAATCCAGCCTCTCTCGCCGCTAAGCGAACACATAAAATAAATGTGGCATTGAGACTTCTAGATCTAGATATCTACAATAGCCTCACACCCTTCTATTTCTAGCAACACTTACCAGGTTCATCCACTCTCCTCTCTGCTTGCTTGCTGTATTCTGTTATTAGATCTAGATCTAGATCTATATTAGAAATAGATCCAGATTCCAGATCTTGGAGTCTCTACACTCTCCCAAAACCTCATCGCTCTCTCATTCACGGTTTTTCAGAAGTGTGTGACGTTCATCCATAATGTTTGCTCGGTCGCGGGAAAAAAAAGTGAAGTGGGAAAACCCGAAACAATTGCACATTTTTATTATTTCCCCTCCGGCTTCTAGGCCTAGACTTAAGATCTAGAGTCTAGGCTGGATCTAGCGCGCACTTTTATTCAAAGACACAATAATTTCTTCCATGGAAGGAAAAGTTGTTGGGCTAGATCTACGCGTGGTGTGTTGTGTGCTGGCTGTCTCGCTCTCTCGCTCTCTCGCTCTGTCTCGTGCGACAAGGAAGACTTGTGTGTGTCCCATGTCTCATTCTCCTCAACACGTTCCCTAAGAGGCATCATGGGACGTTGTATCACAGCTCGAAGATGGCTCACGCGCACGCAGACACATGCACGCGCGCACTCACGCACGGACAGACAGAGCAAGGTTTAGCCTATGTTATACGAGGCCCTGGGCGGAGAGAGAGAGAGAGAGAGAGAGAGAGAGAGAGAGAGAGAGAGAGAGAGGGGGGGAGGTAGAGAGGAGAGAGGGAGAGAA